TTGAGGATGCTTGACAAAGTCACGGATCGATTAGGGAGGATTTCACAAAATTTCAAATGTATTACTAGTTAGGTTGTAGTGCAAGGTAAATGGAATGGTCTAAATCAAATCAATGAACCTCGGCAAGCAGCTTGCCTAAAAGAGCAGGATTGATTTCGAGATAGTATGGGAAGAGGGAGCAAGATATAAATGCACGTTCTAAAGCTAGTGCAAAAAGTATGGATACATGAGGTATCAATGTTGTGGTGCACATGTATTGCAACAACAAATCACGAATGTAGAATGAGCATGAATGCAGGAAAGATGAAGAAATGATGATATAAGAACGAGTTGCGAGAGTCTGGGTCGCCAATAATAGGGAATATGCTGAGAGTTGTAGCAAAGATGACTGGTGGGCGAAAACAATGTACAAAGCATCGTTCTAGTCACTCCGACCTCTTCCAGTTCCTTCAAAGGATCGGCGCTTCAGATCTCATGACAACCTGAAACAGGTAAAATGGCAGAGATTATTACATAGAGGGAGCAAAAACAGTTCAGCTTAGTCCAATCCAGGCGTATGAAATCCCCCATGGTGAACATACTGGCACCCGAGGTTGAAGCAGCCCATTTCTACGCAATTTCGCTCTGGACTTCCTCCTCTTGAATGGCTATCCATGCAGCATGAACAAACGCATACGAGTCGATATATCCCGAGTCTAGGGATATATTCAGGACTGTTCGATTTGGATATTCTGCTCCCGTAGCTTCGGTGCTTCCAGAAGAGAGATTTGGTGGCTCGGAGTCCCACCTGGGCCCGCCTGAGTTGCTTTGCCCATCGACGGATCTCTGCTTCCATGAAACATCGGCTCCCTTATCATTCACGAGCCATAGAGGGACCTCCGTGTTCCATTGCTGCAACATTCTGAATACCGCCACCCGGCTCATCCTCTTCTTCGCGAAGTCAGTGAGGCCTGCCATCCATTGGTTGCGTTCATTTGTCCACTCTCTGGCGACGCCACTATTGTTCACCATCTCCTTGCTACTGTTGGACCTCGTCGCCTCGGACTCGTAGCGATATTCGATAGCCACGCTGAGGTGCCGAAGCGTAGGTAAGGAGATACCTGTACCCTCCAAGGAGTGGTCGTCGGCACCACTAATGCCATCATCCAAAATCCACTTCCAGTCAGACCATGAGAAATCCATCAACCTCAGGTTCTCCAGACCTCTCCCTACTGGGTGCTGGTAATGGATAACGCTCACGCCCCGGACGAAGTCGACACACATGCGCGCAGCCATATCGGGAATCTTCTCCATGGTCACACTGCTCAAGGTACCCCAGTGCATATTGGATGAGAGAAATTTGGCGAATGGAAGGGACTGAAGTTTGGCATTGAGACCACGTCGAGACGATACGTTGTTGGGTGTTGAGCTTGACGTAGCTGGATTGGGGGCTTTGTCGGACGGACCATGCTCTTCTGCTGAAGGTAGGCCCATACGAAATTTGATATCTCTCTGGTCAAATCCCAGATCCAAGTCCTTGAGAATGATTTCTTGGCATTTCGGGACCCTCAATGCGGAGAGAAGGGGTAGTGTCAATGGGAGAGTGGTAAGAGTGAGCTTCCTCAAGCGCTCAAGTGTTACTATGAGGCTGCTTGATTCCTCGCCATGCGCTAAATTCCCTTCGTTTGGATTTCCATTCAATGAGACACCGTTGATTTGCAGGGTGACGAGGTTGGGAAATTTCAG